CAGCGGCCGGCTTCGGCCGCCAGCTCCGCACACGGGCCACAGAGCGCGCCTGCCGCGTCCGCCGGGCCGCCGAGCAGGGCGGCCGCCGTCCGCAGGGCCGGCTCCGGCGCCTCGTGCGCGGCTGGGGCTGAGCACACCAGCAGCAGAGACCAGCCTCCTAGAGCCGGCCGGTGCGCGGCCTCTCCGGCACACTCCGTTACGGCATCCTCCACCGACCTACTCTGCCCTGGTCCAAGCTCCGACATCGCACTGACATTCTTCAGATGGCCAAGTGATCATACAGACCTGGCTGGCTGGCTAAAACCAGAGCAGGAAGTGCTGCTGTGTTGGCCATTTTTAGTTGTGACTTCAAAGCTTCAGAGAAAGCTTCACATGTAAAGGTGATGCAAAATACATCACATGGCCATGGTTTTGTCCATCTGGACTGCAGCTTTCACAGCCCATGGGTCTGGAAACAACAGTGAATGGTATTTATCTTGTGACAATGTTTTGCAAGTGGTCAGATGATAAGATGTCCTTAAAATATTATTGTTTTATGATTATGATGTCTCATCTAAAAAATCCTTGATGAGCAATCTAAAATTGAAGTGTCACATACCAACATCAATCATAATCTGTACTTATGTATAGTTTTGCCATGCATTAGCATGGTGTTTGTGCATCAAAACATGCATGCCACACCACAGGCAGGGCATAATTGTTCTTACAAATCCTGTCCAGCTTTTCAATGTAAGTGCACAAGTAGAGCTGCTAAATTGAGTAATGTTTGTTCACAAATGTGAGAGAGGCAAATGCTTCTTTTTCTTTGGTGTTAACACCAATGAGGAATGCAAAGCAGCAGTCAAACAGTGGAATAGCCAAGGGGTACTCAGGGTCTTTGCCCCTTCCTAGGGGGGGGGCAGGGGTCCACTCAGGGCTCTGGCCGAGGTCCCCAGTAATTTTTGGAGGTGAAATGGCCAAAGTGCTCCTATGACATCACAATGAGCCCTCCAGGCAACACAATTTGATTCCAACCATAGCAAATGCTCATTAAATAAAACCCATGATTCCCAAAATAACAACAAAGTGTGGCCACCTGACTAAGAGACCATTTAAATCTTGACTTTGCCCTCCTGGAGATGTTCCTGGCTATGCCACCGCAATAGAATACAAGTTATTCAATGCAGGAAACAAAATAAAAGACAACCTATCTGAGGCAAATGCATGTGCAATCAACTCACAACTACACATAAACACTTGGTGGAAGATTTGGTGTTGCCCATGTATGTCACACACTTCCCAGACCTCTAATGTATGATGATCAATGTGATGACTTAATGTGGGTTGCGCACACTTTTGGATCCTAGCATCCACAACTTAACCTGAGAAAGCAGCACACCTGTTGTTTATGTCGTCGAGAACGTAACCACGCAAAGGAGAGGACCAAGCTGAGTCGCAGGGAAAACTTTCAGCCACTATTAACCTCTGTCAGGGCTGCTTTTCTAGTGCTCTTTGTCCAAGCGTACAAAGTGGACCACATGGACTAGTAACCAAGTCGTTCTAGCACCTTGGAGCGGGCGAAGCGTCGCGGCAAGTGCAGGCAAATGTACTCGATCGTTGTTTACAAAACGATGCATGTTGATTATGTCGCAAATGCGCAGTAATAGCATCTTTTAAGGCAGCAAGCCATTCGTATTCACATTCATAGATATCGCTGAGCAGGGACCCTTAGCCCCACGTGCTTGCTGCAGCGCACGTTGCAGGTGGTTTGGCGGGCTGATTACGATAATTTATCTCCTTTACCATAAGTTTAGAAAGATAACATCCAGAGGTCATCACAAGTTCAAGATCAAAGAGCTCATTGACTCCCACGATTTTGCTCCAATTCATTTTAATGGTAATTGGCACGGTTATAGCGACATGTACATGCTATTTCGAGTCACAATGAAACCCATTTCATATTTTTTGAACTTTTACATGTTGGTCTAATGCATGTCGTTGCTGCTCGCACCCAATCCCCCACACACCCCATCATTCTGTTGGTGTTCAAAATGTTCTATTTTACCTCCCCATTCCCCCACCCCCATCCCCCTACAACCCATGGTACAACCACATGGTATAGTTCTGCTGTTTTATTCCATCTGAGGGTGTTTTATTGTTAAAGAAAATATTTGTTTGCCAAATGCTCACATAAAGCCAGGAAAAACCCTGAAATTTGACTCTTCACAAATACAGAGCAAAACTAATGTAACCATGGTGAATAAGCAACATCATTGTATGAGAAGTAGACTTGGTACACACAAAGTTCGTGCAAGTGGAATGTCGGAGTTGATCAGCTGAAGTCCTATTTTGTTTTTGTTTTGTTCTTGTGTTAATAGGCAATTTTTATGAACAGAAGTCTAAAATGTCATTGCAGTGAGTGACAGTCTTCAATTTCCAGTATTGCAGCATTTGAAGGAAAGAATGAGAGGTCATTGGGAAGAACTAGCTTACATATTTTTACTGATAAAGAAGGGTCCGGAACGAAGAGTTCATGCTTCCTCTCCCGTCAGTTCATCAGGTGGGTTTTTTGTTGCGTTCAAAGTTGTGTAATTGTGACCTGAATGATATGTTGTGACAATTGACAATCACCAAATGTGACAATCACCTTGACAATCTGAATGATATTCTCTGTGCATTTGACTTGTTAATTTTGCAGTACTTTGCATGCTATTATTGATGGAACCATATTTTGGGCTGGAAGTAGATTCATTGAAGAGTGTAATTATGTAACAGACATGCTGTTTTGGTACATGGAGATAACAGCTATACTGTCTGACATGTTCTTCAGCACATTTGAAATTTCTGCAGTGACTGGAAGTATCTAAGGATGGCAGATGAAGTGGACTTGACAGAAATAGGACAGGGCTCACTGGACACCAAGCCAGAGGAATATGATGACAGGCAAGATGACTATGAGGGAAGACAGCAAGACTATGAGGATGGGGCAGAGGATTGTGAGTGTGAACCAGAGACCTGTTGAGAGCAGACCTGACGTGGAAGCAGGTGGAGTTCTGGATGGCACCCTTCCTCCTGTTGGCAAACTGCCAAAGCTGTATGAAGCACCTATTCAAGAATACAGCAGTGAGTACCAGCAAGATATTGAGGCCATGAAGGCTATGGGCCTGCCTCTTTCCTTCACAAACCACCAGGCACTTGACTTGGAAGGTAAGTGCCCATAAAGACTCATGCTGTTTCCAGCTTGGAGAGAAGCACATGTGCTGCATGTTCATCAGCTGTGTGTATCCCCTAGCTGACATTTGTGCAAATCCGCCCACTTACAATATAAGCCTGTCATGTTGCACTGCAGACATCCACTTGGTCTTGTATAGTCCAATGCCATCTTGGTGCTTAGTGCAGGAAGCTGGCTGTGTCACAGGCAGTACAGCACCGAGACATCCATCTCAAGGCCATGCCGTTCTGCAGGAGGAGTGGGTGGCTACTGCTTGCCGGGCGCCACCGGCCCAGCCTCAGCATGACGTCATTCTCGTCCCAAGTGACGCAGTCAGCGCCGGACGCCGGTGCGACGTCATCTCAGTCACCGCCGAACGCCTGTGTGACGTCACCGCAGTCGCCTCCGGATGCTTGTGTGACGTCACCACGCTCGGTCACGACGTCGTGCACGTCTGGTGGGACGGAGCGCTCCTCGTCGCCGGGCGGGCTCGAGTGGCTGCGGTGCGACTACGGAGGCGGCCGGGGCGAGCCGAGCCTGGAGTGGCAGGTGCGCGACACGGCGCCGTCCACACCCGCGGTCGGACGCCGCGCGCGGCGGCGACGCGGCACCATTTCGCAGGCGAATAGACGTTGCTTGAAGCGTTATGTGTGTTGTTTTTTGTGGATTATGTGTCATGAAATCGTTCGGGCAAAACAGTCTACGTGGGATATCATGACCGTTTTGCTCGGACTCCTCCGTTTTCTTCCTCCCTTTAAATGAACACCCTTCTTCGTGTTAAAAGTCCGGACCGTTTCCGTATTCCTTGTCATTTGAGAGGCTGTCCGTGTTCTTTCTGTTCTTCTCTGATCCTTTCCCTAGTCTGTACAAGTCGTTCCCCGTATTCATTCATGATATTTACCGCCGTTCACACCGGAACCTTTCCATGCTCATCTACACTTCGGCCTGTGCCCGCTCTACCTCTCCTGTTCACGTTCCAACCGTTCCTTCAAATCACGTCCTGACTACTCATCGCTCACCCCAGACCCCGCCGTCACGTCTGGACCCGTCTCTGACCTAGCATTCGCCCCTGACCTCACTCGCTCCCTCTGGCCGTGCTGTTCGCCGCTCGAGCCCATCCCCGATGACCGAGCTGCCTCCGCCGCCAGCCGTACGAGCGGCCCGATTCGGCCCGAGTTCTGGCGCCGCTGGGAGGCCCACTGGAGCAGCTGTGGCGATGCCACCGTCCTGCAGACCTGGACCGAGAAGTACCGCGACTACATCGAGCCGGCGTACCTGGCGAGCGTGGAGGGCGCCAGCGCAGCGGAGTCCGGCGCTGGCGCCACGGAGCGGCAGGCCGGCATGGGGGAGGAGGCGGTCGGAGAGTGTGGGACAGCGTCGGACCCGTCGGCCGTCGAAGAGCCGCCGCTCGCTGTGGACCAGTCGGCGGTGGATGGGCCTCCAGCGGAGCCGCGGTCCACGGCGGACGACCCTCCCACGGCAGACGGTCAGTCCATGGGTGGAGATCAGTCCCAGGTGGAGGACCAGTCAGCCGCCGACCAGCACCCGGCGGGAGATCGGGGCTTGGTCGAACCGTCTGCTGCCGACCAGTCGGCGGCGGAGGACGCGCCGCAGCCGAGCGGCGAGTACTCGTGGGACGAGCTGTGGCAGCAGCACTACCAGCAGGTGTACGAGCGCATGCTGGCCGAATTTAGGGCTGAGCATGGCAGGTCGGCGGCGGCGGACGGCGGCCACACCGACGGAGGGCTGCCGAACGGTGCCCCCGACGGCTCCAGCGACTCCAAGAGGAAGGCTGGCGCCAAAAGAAACGAAACGCGTCATCCAGAAAAGCAAGGTATGTTGGTTACTATTGCTTATGGCCCTAAGTAGCATGATTTTTGTGTGGTGATCGTTGTGGCGCATGCGTTAGAGCGAAGCGTATGTTTTTGTGATGAGAACTTTGTCAGTATGTGAAGGTTTGACGTGTCTGTGATTGATGAGAAGCAACGTATTTCGTCCGTCTTTCGTTGCGCACGAGCACCGTGCGCGCGTCCCTGTAGCCGTCGATCCCCAGATTCAAAATGTCTCCGTCCACCCCGGCGACCATGACAACAGACTTTCCTGTTGCAGGGAAATGAAGCTGAACAGCGTGGGCGCACTGCTGCAGCAGCTGCAGGAGCCATCGGAACCCACCACGGCCGCCCGCCGGCCGACTGAGGCTGCCTCTGATGACGTCACAGATATCCGGCCGGGTGACGCCACAGATCACCGGCCAGCCGACGGAACTGTGCCTGCCGATGCGTTCGATCCTACTGCTGGGAAAGGAGAGTGCGCTGTGGACGACTCGGCTGAAGAGGTGGACGTCAGCTTGGGGTAAAAAGCCGGTGTGAGCTGGGGCTTTGTTGTGGTTATAACGCTTGCGATGAAAATCGTGTATAAATGTAAACAAACTGATGCAATTTTATGCTCATCCAACAAATTCGCAGACACGTTCATAATTTTCGGTGTGGTGCATATATATATATATATATATATATATATATATATATATATATATATATATATATATATGCACCACACTGAAAATCATGAACGTGTCTGCGAATTTGTTGGATGAGCATAAAATTGCATCAGTTTGTTTACATTTATACACGATATATATATATATATATATATATATATATATATATATATATATATATATATATATATATATATATATATATACATATATACAGGGCCGCATCCGTAGCATTAATTGTTGCATGATGAATCGTCGTGGACTAGATATCGATACGGAATACATGAAACATTTGATTGAGGCGCGCTGTCACTCGACAGAACGTCACTTATTCAGTTAAATCGATGATACACAGATCAGTCACATGACATGACGCTGTCTGGATGCCCCCCCCCCCCCCTGACTAGTCTGTTCCGTGTGGATGCCTCATACCGACATCGCGCACTGCAGTCTCGCCTGTACCAGCGTCCCATCCTGGACACCTCCTGTACCGCCGCCCCGGTCTCGGGTTTTGTCTGCACCAGAGTGCCAACCTGGACACCTCCTGTACCGCCGCCCCGGTCTCGGGTTTTGTCTGCACCAGCGTGCCAACCTGGACACCTCCTGTGCCGCTGCCCCGGTCTCGGGTTCTGTCTGCACCAGCGTGCCAACCTGGACACCTCCTGTACCGCCGCCCCGGTCTCGGGTTTTGTCTGCACCAGCGTGCCAACCTGGACACCTGTACCGCCGCCCCGGTCTCGGGTTCTGTCTGCACCAGCGTCCCAACTGGACACCTGCTGTGCGGTCGCCTTGGTCTCGGGTGCCGTCTGCGCCGACGCCGCTGACCCACCATTGCTGACCGGCCGCTGACCAGACGCCGTCCCGGCAGGCGGCCGGGCACGCTGGAGTTTGCCGAGGGCGCGCTAGCGATGCTGGGCTTCTGCCACGCAGCTACTGAGGACGCCGCCCGGCCAGCCGCCGCCCACGTCACCTACCGCCAGAAGCGGCTCAAGCAGAAGACCCGCGCGCTCAACATGACAAAGACGGCATTCAGCCACGACAGTCTGGTCAAAAAGGTGCAGGCTTTGTGCCACTGAAGTCTGGGCAGCGCCGGCCAGCTAACAACCTGTCAGCAGTCCACGTCGGCGGGCTGAGAGCCTGTGTCGTCGTTTGAGAGCCTGTGTCGTCGTCGTTTGAGAGCCTGTGTCGTTTCGTGATGTTAAAGCAGACAAAGCTCCTTGCAGTGTAAAACAAACGCGTTGGAATTAATTAGCGTGCAGTTTTATGGAACCAACGTACTGTGTTATTAACGTGTTTCATGGAACCAACGCCCCTTTGCAATCCTTCAGGCGCAGAACCTGATTGGCGCATTCCAATCGGAACAGAGGTCGAATGGCGTCAGCGCAGAGCAGACGAAGCCGGCCGAAGAGCGTGACAGTACCAGTGAATCTGTTCACCCTACCAGCGAATCGGCCGACGTTGCTAGCGAGGTCACTCACCCTGAGGCCAATGACCCCGGCAAACAGGACGATGAACCCAAGGCCACTGACCCACCCGCCGCGGGGAGCGGGGCTGCCGACGCCATTCAGAAGCGATGCGCGGCCCGCGGCCAGGGCCAGGGTCGCCGCCAAGCGGGGGGCAAACGAAGTCGAGCCGCCCGGCCCGCGCCCGAGGAGATGCAGAACTCCGCCGAGCTGCGCAAGTACTGGTACCAGCGGTACCGGCTCTTCTCCAGGTGAGAGGCCGCACGGTGCGGAGCAGCCCCGGGCGGTGGCGCTACACTAGATCGCCACTGCTATCGGTGTGCGTGCCAGCTCAGAGCGCTTCCTCGGTCAGATCGGATCGGGTTCACCCGCGGGAACGCACCGCCTCCGTCGCCCAGCCGCGGCGAGCGGCAGACACGGCCGTGCCCCTGCATTTGACGTAAGGTTCTTGTAAGCCACACCCCCGGCTCGCGGGGCCGGCGGGGTCACGTGCCTTGACTCTGCTGATACGCGCTCTCGGCGCCGGCCGTCCCCAGGTTTGACGAGGGCGTGCGACTGAGCGGCCCCAGCTGGTTCTCGGTGACGCCGGAGCAGATCGCGCGCCACCTGGCGGACCGCTGCCGCGCTGACGTCATCGTCGACGCCTTCTGCGGCGCCGGCGGCAACGCTATCCAGTTCGCCTTCACTTGCGAACGAGGTCAGTCCCGCTAATGCCCCGGTTCGACACCCTCGCTCTGTGGGGCGGCCCACGTGTGTCAGAGGACCTCGTGCCCGCGCTCACCGGTGGTCTTTATCGGCTGATTATGCATATGCCGAGCTCGGCAGATTATCGTAACGGGGCCAGCTCAAGGGAACGAAAACTCGCTCTTCCGACAATTATGAGAAGGCTGCGGGACGCGAGACATTCGATGGTAGTACACACATTTGCCCTTGACATCCCGCCGGATGGATACCAGTGACTTGGTGTCCCCGTGAGCGCCCCGAGCCTCAGCAGCGGCCTCGAGCCAGCGTGGCGCCGATGACCGTTGACTCCATGTCCCCGTGAGGGCCCCGAGCCTCAGCAGCGGCCTCGAGCCAGCGTGGCGCCGGTGACCGGTGGCTCCGTGTCCCCGTGAGCGCCCGAGCCTCAGCAGCGGCCTCGAGCCAGCGTGGCGCCGATGACCGGTGGCACGGCGCCTGCCGGCAGTGATCGCCATCGACATCGACGCCGAGCAGCTGGCGCTGGCGCGGCACAACGCGGCCGTCTACGGCGTGCGGGACCGCATCGAGTTCGTGCGCGGCGACTTCTTCACGCTGGCGCCGCGGCTGCGCGCCGACGCCGTCTTCCTCTCGCCGCCCTGGGGAGGTCAGTGGTCTGGCGCTGCCCGGGCTGGGCGGGCCACCCGTCTGGCGCCGTCCGAGTGGAGGCGTCACTGGTCGGACGCTGCCCGAACGGAGGCGTCACTGGTCTGGCGCTGCCCGAGTGAGGGCGTAAATGGTCTGGTGTTGCCCGAATGGAGACGTCGCTGGTGTGGTGCTTCCCGAGTGGGGGCGCCACCGGTCTGGTGCTATCAAGTATGGTGGGCCGTTTGGTTGTTGTCACCGGCACCGGTTCGACGAGGTCAGTGTCTCGTAAGGTTCCGGAGGCGAGTCGTCAGGGTCTTCTGCTCGCAGCCACAAATCTCGTGTTCAGAACACCCCGCGCTGCGGCGTGACACCATTCAGATACCTCCCTCGTGTAACGGCTCCGCGGCTCGGTGACCGCAGCGGCGCGACCGTCACCTCCGGCAGGTCCCCAGTACTGCGACGCCGACGTGTACGACGTGTACCGGCTGGATGGCTCCATGGACGGCCGGGACATGATGCGCGCCGCCCGTCAGGTGTCGTCCAACATCGCCCTGCTGGCGCCCCGCAACGCCAACACGCATCAGGTGGGAGCGCCACCGCCACTTGCCGGCGTGCTCCGCCGCGAACGGCACCACGGATGTCACGCAGCGCCGACCCGGTGCCGTGCAGCCGTGTCATCGTAGCGTGTTTCCACTGCCTTGTTTCCGTTGTATCCGGACTACTAACGTTCAGGGCCCACCCGTCTGCTGGTGGGTAGCTGTGCATCATCGGGAGAGGGCCGCGGCGTCGGCGGTGAGCGCTGCCAGGCGGGCCGGTGACGCCGGGGGCGGACGGTGACCCAGGGCGTGGCTGGTGACCGTGACCCTAGGCACGATCGGTGACCCCGGGTGCGATTGGTGACCCCAGCCGGGCTGAACCTAGCCGCCTGTCCACAGCTGACGGCGCTGGCCGGCCCCGGCGGCAGCGTGGAGATAGAGCAGAACCTGCTCAACGGCAAGATCAAGACCATCACCGCCTACTACGGCGACCTGATCGCGTGCGGGCACAGCTGACCCGCCGGCGGCCCGCGCTGCGCCCTCGTTCGCCTGTAGTCGCCGCTCACTCCCTGATCACCCCGACATACACGGCGTGCGACACGGATATACACTGTATTTGGGTACGCCTGGCGGCGTCACGAGGTGTCCGCCGGCTTGCGGTATTTGCACTGGTTCCAGACGCGATACATCTTGAGCTGGCGGCCCCTGTTGACCTGCAGGCGCCGGTCCACGTGGTTCTGCACCTCCTCTAGGCCGGCGCCGAGGAACAGTCCCCGCAGCTCCTCTGGCGGAGGGAAGACCGAGAGAGGACCGGTCACCAGCGCGCGACAGGGTCAGGACGGCTCTAAACTTCACTCCGCGTGAACGGCACGGCTCCGAGTCGAGGAACACGAGTCGATCCTGGACTCAGTAAACAACTGCAGCATCCGCGGCAACAGCTTACGACTTGATCTTTCACGCTATTACATACCGGGCCCGGCATTGCCATATTGACCATTATCAGGTTTGCCTCAAAAGTTCTTACCTGCTTCACGCGCTCACCTTGTGTGAAGAAGTAGACCAGGGTGCCGTCGCCGCGGGCGTACAGGTTGTCCTGCAGGCAGCGGCCTGGCTTGAAGCGCAGTTGTGCCATGTCATAGCGACCGTAGTCGCGGAGTAGGATCGTGCCTCCCGGCCGCAGGTAGCGCGCCAGCCGCCTAGCGACCAACTCGTGACTGCAGGTTATAGGCGCGGTCAATAGGTGGCAGCATGTCGCCTGATATCACCGTTCGGCCACCGCGTAGGTCAACCGTGGATCATGACTTCGTTCAATACCATCATTTTTACAAAGTGTCGATTACAGTTACCGCGGCTAGCATTTCGTACAATATACTGCAACTTTTAAGCAGACAAAATGTGGGATGCAAAGCCTCTGACAAAGCGTTCCAAACAAGGCATTCCACAAAACCGATTTTACTTCATGTCATTTCTCATATGCCGAAACCCAAGAGAAGGTACGCGCATGCAGCTTGTGATCATGACTGCCACAAGACAACTTCGAATTCATCTCCGGCGCCGATCCTTGTGCCGTCCCTACTCACTGAGACGGGTGCAACGCCGACAGCACGAAGATCAGCACGATGATGTCCAGACTGGCCTCGGGGAACGGCACTGAGGCCGCCTCATCGGTGACGTCCATCACGAACGCGTGACACCTGCCAGCAGTGCGTACAGGTCGCCTCCAGCACACGGGTTGGCGCGGACACTGCCCGCCGCCCTAGTCGCACTTGCGCGGCGTACAGACAATAGCCGCGGTCAACGTCTGACCTGTGGGTTACCCACACCAGGCGAGCGCAGCACAATCACGGAGACTGTAAGCTACCGGGAGGCGGGACCGGACGAGGCCAGTCAAACCCTGCGACCAGGGGTTCTAGCGCTCCCGCTGCTGATCACCAGTGTCGCGTTTCTGAAGACGCAGGCTGGCTTTTACTTCTGAGCATGAAGACCGTGCACGTCCGCATACAGCGGGGCAGGCCGCGCGTTCAGCCACTAGCCCGGGTCAGTGGCCACCCGCCGGTCGGCGCCACCCACCGGTCCGGGTCAGTGGCCACCCGCTGGTCGGCGTCACCCACCGGTCCGGGTCAGGGCCACCCACTGGTCCGGGTCAGGGTCACCCACCGGTCCGGGTCAGGGCCACCCACCGGTCCGGGTCAGGGCCACCCACCGGTCCGGGTCAGGGTCACCCACCGGTCCGGGTCAGGGTCACCCACTGGTCCGGGCCAGGGCCACCCACCGGTCCGGGTCAGGGCCACCCACCGGTCCGGGTCAGGGCTACCCACCGGTCCGGGTCGAATTGCGGCGCCTGCCGCACAATGCGCACGGCCGACTCGGAGAAGTCGCTGCCGTAGACGAACAGGCGGCGGTCCGCGTTGGTCTCCAGCAGCGGGAAGATGGTGTTGCCGACGCCGCAGCCCACCTCCCAGACGCGCCGCAGGGCGTCACAGCCCGGGTACGGTGCCCCCGACTTCTGGTGACGTCACAGCACGGTGTCACCGTCCGCAGCGCGTGAGCTCACCACTGGGTGAAATCCGTGAAAGGACGTGTGGTATCGTCTTGATATACTTTTCTGGTCCATGACTGGGGAAATCCGGAGCGAAGGTGGTCGCGCACGAGATCGTGGTTCCAATGCGTGGTAAAAGCCAACATCCCGTGCAGGTTTAACAGCTACAGGTAGAAAAACACGCATGGAACAGCAACATGAGAGCACGGGTGAACCATTAATCCAACCCCGCCGACCACCTCTCGTGTGTTGCAGGCCACTACAAAGATATCGCGAAGAAATAGGGGTACGAATTTTCGCATGAATCCAACGAAACGGGAGACACGGAGGCCAACTTTACCTGAGGTGCTGAGTCTTCGGAACTGTTCTTCTCGCCGAGCTCAGGGAACTCGGTAAACAGCCAATTTCGGTCCTTAAAGAACCTACCGAGACGTAGACCCAGTTCAACGTGTGCACGTGCAGGCACTTGAGATCTGGATCGTAGTGCCTCTCGCTCGTGATCCCCTTTTCCGCATTTCAACACGGCATGTCTTTAGCTGAGCACCCGCAAGGGCTTTAATGTGAACGGGCGATGCGTGATGCTATTTGCTTTTAAAACATGGATATGTTGGTACTATCATCTCGCATCATCGTCTTACAGCCTGCTGTAAGATGATAAACCAAAATTGCATCACAGTTAAGTCTGCGATGATGGAAGCTTACTGACTTGTTATCGTGCTGGTCGTAGAATGCATCCCAGAAGACATTCGGAGATTCGACCAGCTGCTGTACCTTGTCTGGTTCAGCCTTCACACTGGCATTTTCATCAATCTTTCTCTGGGCCTCTTCTTGCTGTTCTTCATCCCATTCCACATTATCCCTGTTTAAAGGCAGTTGTCAACATAAATGAAATCATGCATGACACAAGTTATACTTTCAACAAAACTGCTGATTGCTGGATGTAATTTCTATTGTGCTTACATAGTTGTGAACCCAAAGACTGTCCTGTATGTTTTTACTGTGAAAATATATGCTATGAGTTATCAAAGTTGTTGAAGGGGAAACTCAGACATCAAATGATTGTGGAGACATGCTTCTTCATATATCTGCCCACAGCACCAAACATCACAGCAAGAGCAAATGTCTGCATACCACTCACCAAGCATTATGTTTGAAGACATCATCAGCATCTTTGAGTGTCCTGTTTCCAAACTGTGGTCGCTTATCATCTGCCATCACCACTTTTGTACAGTGCAGGGATTGACTGCAACCACAATCTGGCAATATCTTCGATCTGAAAAATGGAAGCAAGGCACATAACTGCACTTGGAGCCCTCATGTGATGTGAGACAAGCAACCCAAACTCACCATCTGCACTAAACCCCAGCATTTGGACTACACTAATATTTGAACAAAAATTCAGATGTGGTTATCATTGGAAAAATGAAATCAGTACTTATGTTTGGCAACAACCAAACTTGCTGAGACATGTTAACAAATATTTCCAAACACATTAGCTAAAAGGTCACTTACTTGCAGCAGGCAAAAACCAGGTCAAGGTTGTTGGTGAATGTGACTTCTCAGGAATATTTCAAGCTGATGCAACAATGGAGAGCTATACAAAGTCATACAACTTAAGTACAGTTCATTAGGTAATTCCACAACTGAATCCAGGCTTACAATAATTCCACTGGCATGCTAGGCCTGAAAGTCAGATCAAGGACAAGCCAAAGCACTTTTATGCTGGAAATTTATGCATAAGCTTTATGAAGTAGATTTTGATGCTCATTTTTAATCCTTCAGTTACAAGAATATCAACAAATTCCTTATCTTGACCTCTAAGGTCACATAGGGCTGAAAGCCTAAAAGAATGTTAGTTATCTCATGCCTTGAGGAACATGCCACATATTGTAGTTCTTAACAGATTGTGCATTCCAATGAAAATAATGCTGAAGAGTTTGTTGGTTTTGTTCATCCAAAGTCATTTTGTCACCAACCTGATATGAACACAAGTGACCATTCTCATTACAAGAATACCTAGATTACAGCCATAAGTGTGTGTGGGGGGGGGGGGAGGTCTTAGGGGACTTCGGACCCTGACCAAGTTAAACCCTATTTGACATGAAAATCAAGACAAAGTGGCCATAAACTGAACACAAATTAGTTCAAATAGAGCCATGGTGCCCTCACTAGCAGAGCTGTGAATTTGGCATATCCAGCTCTTAGTTTTGAGATCCGGCTCATGTCAGACTGACCCCAACTGCACCTGAGTTTGTCAAATTTAACCACCCAATAGGTTTCATCCTAGTGTTAATGTCCAAAGGGGAAAACCAAATGCACTAGTGTAAATATTCAATGCTAAAAACAAATCCATGCTGTGGGGTAGGGTAAGGATGAAAGTAGGAGTAATGGTAAGAGTAGGGGAAGAGACAGGTGTAGAAAAAGAGTGCAGTAAGGCTAGGTTATGCTGAATCAAAGGCAATTGTTGATACAATTCTCAGCACAAAAAAAAATTGTCATTGCACATTGTGCATGGCATGGCCACAACAATGCCCGAGTCATGGATGCATAGTCATGCATCAAAGTTGTGAACCCAAAGCATCAGAATATTGATAATATCATTCTGTCATAATCGTGTACTGGATTTGAAAAGGGACAGTATGCTGAATCATGGATGTTAAGATAAATATCCTTTCCAATTTCACCCTACATTTTTCTTCAATTATAGATTAAAGCTGAACTTTTATTGACATTCTCACTTCTTTTGCTTGGAATCGCATACACCACCAACCACGAAACCACAAAAATTTGACAACAGCCCTAAACTTTTTCAATCAAAATTAGTGACCGCCATGCAAGCGAAACATGCTCTCACAAACCATCACATGATCTTCATCACGCTTGAATTAACATTACTAAATTCCCCTTTTGGTAGCCATGGACTCAATGGCTTGATATGTATCATCGTACCTCCACAAGGGGGCCCCGAATCGTATAATTCGGTGCAGACCAACCCCATACCGCATCCCGGGCTGACTAGAGCCCGCCAGGTAACCTGTTAAATAGCCCCGAGTTCAGCCTTAGTAAAAGTAGTGCGGCGGAAACAAGCTATTCCCGTCATATATGTCACTAAACATGGCAATAGTTTTCTCGTACATTTCTTAAATAAATTTATATTTGGAATTCTTAGGGCGGTGTCAAGTTCATATTCAATAGACAACTTGATGCAACAATGAAATTGGCGTAGTTTTCATATTTTCTGAAGCTTAAATCCTGATGTTTATGGTCAAAAGATGTCGTTTGATAAGAACTCAAAAAGTCCAGTCTGCGATCAAATGGACCGCACCAGCCTTTACAAAGGATTTTGGTAATATGGCAGGGATTTTTGTAATTCGTGTCTGGCGCAGCTGACACGGATCTTGCACAGCGAGTGGTTTTAATGAATGGGCTGTAATTGCGAGGTTAGAATATATCATGTCGTAATGGGTTTTATATTCTGAAATATTGGTATCAACTCCCTGCTTATCACCCACTTAAAATGGATAGGCCGGTGCTGGCCGTGTCGTGTTTATAGATCCTGTGTCTCACAAGAAAGTCACTTCGTTTTTTGTCGCTTCGGGAGTGTGGAATTGCAGATGAGCGATGTTTGTAATCTAAACCCAGCCTTGGCCAGCTCCACATCTTGCCACCACTGCCACATAGTGTGCTCATACACCACCAATGTTCACCAGAATGGTCATGCTTATGACTGTTTTAACTCTGACACTCTTCTAATTTTTGTAGGCATTCATACAGCAGGGGGCCAGAGATGCTTCCCAGGAGATTTAAAACTTGTGACATCCAGATAGGCATATTCTTCTGCATCTATGTGGCCTGGCATTTATTACACCTGCCAAAAGGGTCAGATTATGATCAGATATGTTGAGGACAAGATTATCTTCAAACAGTAGTGCATATGATTTCTATTGATGCTGTATCGCTGCTCCTCATGCATGCTGCCATGCTCTGGGTATTTGGCAGATCATGGATTTTCAGCAAGACCAGCAAGATGCTTCAAATGAATTATATGGCTGTGGTTTTAATGGCTTGCACCAGCTTGATAGTTCAGATGATGGATACAAAACATCATGGGTTAGAATAGCTTGTGGAGTTGACAGCAAGTCCAGTTTTGCTGTATGTTGGGACTCAGTGTATGTCTATCATACACAAGGTAAATAATATGTGACTTTTGTGTTTTGTATTGTGCAAAAATGTTATTGAGTTGTGACAATATAAGTTGAAATCAGTAAACTGTCACCATTTATCTCTTGTTCTACTACAGTTTTCCAGCCATGTAATAGCCTTGTTTTGTAGGATACTAAAGATGTGTAAATTTTTAACTGGGTATAAATGGGTACAATACTAAAAGTGTTATCACAATGTTGGTGCCATTTATTGTTTACTGGAATGCCTTTATTATGGTATTGTTTTTGTACATCATATCCATCTATCTGGAATGATCTTGATGGCAGTTGTTCATATAAAGTGGATTCCCGTCACAATTTTTAAAATCAGGACAAATCAAGAAGAATGACAGTGAAATTCCACCACCTGAAGAGTTCAAGAATGAAGATCCAGTAATGGTAAGGGGTTTTCCTTTGCAACTGTGAGCTGGGTTAAACCTATATGGCATGCAACCTGTTCACATTTGATACTTTTGATCACAATTTTTTTAGTTCATAGTGAACTATACTTTCTTTGTTCCAAGGGTGTAATTGATAGAAACAGCAGGCAGAATGAAAATTCTTTATTTTGGACTGGATTCCATTATACAGTACTGCAGTGGGGCATTCCATTATGGAATAAGTGATGTGAGTGAGAGCACCATGTCATTGGGTCTGCAAAAAAATATTCTGACAAAAGCCTGAAAAAGTGCACTACTAATGTGCAGAACAATTGATGCAAAACCCCTTAAAAATTTGCTTCAAGTTAGGCAACTCAATCCATGACACACTTTGCTATTTTCATACATTATACAGCTGACAGAGAGAGAAACCCCATGAAGTCCTCACCAGGCATGCCATGCTAAAAACTAGTAAAAAACGTGGTGCTAGCCTTGGACCCAATTGCAACTTCTGACCCCAGAGTACTTAGATAATGTGTGTGGCTGGCCTGTCATGCCTGCTCAGCCGGAATCTAGTCGCGTGCCTGCTGTTCCGCGGACCGCCACTGACGAGCAGGCGTGGTTGGCTGGAGCTGAAGAGGTGGCGAGGTGACGAGTCAGGCGCGGTGGGCTGGAGTGGGAGAGGTGACGGGTCAGGCGTGTTTGGCTGGAGTGGAAGAGGTGGCGAGGTGACGGGTCGGGCGCGGTTGGCTGGAGTGGGAGAGGTGGCGAGGTGACGGGTCAGGCGTGTTTGGCTGGAGTGGAAGAGGTGGAAATGATGGCGAGGTGACGGGTCAGACGTACGTGGCTGGAACAAAAGAGACGGGGATGTGGGACAGGCGTGCTGGGCTGGAGCGGAGGAGGTGGGGGGGGGGGGGGGGGGGGGAGGGGGGAAGGGGCAGGACAGGCGTGCTTGGCAGGTGAGTTAGGGGTGGGGAGGTAGCAGGACAAGCGCGCTTAGCTGAAGCCGAAAAGGTAGGGAGGTGGAAGGACAGGCGCACTTGGCTGGAGCGGAAGAGACGGGGACATGGCGTGAAAAGGCAGGACGATTGTGCTATCCCCGTTGGCGTTGTGTTGTCGGGGGGGGGGGGGGGGGGGGAGGGGAGACTTACACGCAGGTCACTGACCGATGATACGCTACGTACCATGGCATGTTCCGGAACATCTGATTTCCTCATTTTCGAGCCTACGTCGAGCCGCCCGTTTGTCTTTCCGCATGTCTGGAGCCAAACTTACAGCACAGACAGCTGTGCGGCTGCCGTGAAGTTTGCGCTTACGGTGGTTGCGAGCTTGTGACATAACCTGATGTAGACTCTCGTCGCTTAATGCCGGCGTCGACGTCGGCGCGCGATGGGAGGATGTGTTGTGGTATAGAGCAGGCGCAGTTCTCGTATCTGTAGCAGAAACAATGGTTGCAAGGTCTGAGCCACCGAAAACATGTCGCAAAGCTCGAACATCAATGCAAATTGTGTTCGTTAGAATGCTAGACGAATGTTAGCGTGCTCACGCGCGCGGGGCCGCCAGCTGACGCGGGCACTGGAATCTTCAAAAATGAAGTTGGACACGCTGTGGTGGTTAGGTGGTTAGAGACGGTGCTATACCGACGCCAACGACGGCAGCGTTTCGCGCAATCAGACAAGCGGAAACCGCAAGTAAATTGTGTATGTCCGATGGGCCGAGTGCGTGGAACAGCACTGCACGGGCACGGTTTCCGAGTGGTTCATTAGTTTAGTACGGCCCTTACAAATGTTGACTCGGGAACCAAGTCCGGGGATGTGGGCGCGTGAGCCACAGGGCTCGCGAGCAATGCGACTTTAACTACAAACTGGGCGATTTCGCAGGAATTAGGTTCACCTTTGCAGGTGTTCGGAGCAAATTAGATATTTGCCTTTCCCTTTTGAGGAATACTCGGACTTAGTGCGTAGTTTAACCGAGATCCGCCTCATTTTGTTGAGACACCAGCCAATGTTGCGGCGTTGCGACGGAGCTGCAGACGCCAACAACGTCGCATCCTGGCGCAGCGAAGCAGGCGGGAACCTCTTGTGTATACCGAGGGGTACGAAGCATTTGTTGTTTGGCCATCCGTGTATAATGCGCCTGGACATCTGTGTCGTGACGTTATACTGAAAGAAGTGACGTTGTATCAGTTTTCAGTATGTCATTCCCGTAAGTGAAAGTTTGAAGCAATAACGGCGAAGCGCACAAATCACAAGTTATGGAGAGAACATGTCAGCGCTGTAGATGCAGCTGTTAGTGACCGTTAAGAGGCAGCTTAGACCATTGCAGAAATCTGCACGGCACGCATGTGGGGCAGGAGCAGGAAATGCACCCGAATGGGGAGCCTTTGCGCGAGCAGGAGAAGCTGGCTCTTTAATGAGATACTTTGCTCGACTGATGACTTAAATTTAATTGAGGAAGATTTGGTTACAGAGTTCGTGATATTTGAGCGCGCTGTGCTGCCTTAAAGGCATCCGGTACATTGTAAGCACACGGCCAGTCTAAAGATGGACAGAGCCAGGAACGAAAATCCGGCGTAGGATTAAGCGTCCTCATTCCAGCAGAGCGCTCTGGAGGCTGCCATCACCACAGCGATGCCCGATGCCGGATGTACGCCCGTGCCAGGTGGTGAATGAGTCGCCGAACCCCCTGAGCCCCGATCTGTTGTGCTCATAGATGCCACCGATCCGGAAGATCGCGACTCTGGTTGTATTATGAACGCATCGTTGGCAGCTGATCTAAATTACATGTGAAGTACCACCTTTGACGCTTTTATCCACCGAAGTTACGTGATGAGCTTGGTCTCTGAGGTCGTCTCAACGTCTTTAGTTATGGACGCCACGTGGCTTAAAATGCCCGGCAGTGAGCCTGAGAGTGGCCTATCTGGCCAAGCTGATGCAATGAAGTTCGACGTCGTCCCGGCGCTGCTTCTGGAGGGCGCGAAGAGTAAAATGCTTTGTGATAACCTCCGAAAAGCCTTAACGCAGTTACAAACCGGTGTCCTTTTCACCATGCGTGTGATGAGCGAACCACCTTTCGCCGTTGTAGGGGGTTGCGGCGGATGTGTGTAGGTCAACTGAGATTTGCTATGGCACATGATGCTATCATATCAGGGGGGACGGAACTAACGTATGTGCGTGATACGTTATGTCATTCTCAGATGGCTGTAAGCCGATAAGTGGAAGACCGTGTTTTGGCAATGATACATCGCGTGAACACTTCTCTGCCTGTCTTCGCATCGTTTCATAACATTTCCTCTGTACTCTGTTCTGGTACTTAGCTGGTGTGGAAACCGAGACCGAGAAAGTACACCATAAACCGGCAGTGGACTTTCGAAGCAAGCGGGTAATTCTGAAGAGGCCGCCGATTTCGATGATGACATCAAATGCCGTTGCAGGAGCCAGATGAGGCGGCGCAATCCATTTCCCGTCAAAGACAATCGGCGCTGATGCCGGGGTTGGAAGCAGGCAGATAGTGGCAGGCAGCATGCATCTTGACTAATGGGCTTGTTTCCTGTGGACAGTGTTGGTTATAATGGGTAAAGACACTCCATGTTAGAAGGCAGCTTCTTCGTTTAACGTTGAGCACACTTTCGCGTTCTGTTAGGAGTGTAAAAATTTGCAGGAGTTTACCACTTAAAACGTTTGCCCTCAATCCCAATGGCACGAAGTTTTCGCCCTAACAACTGTTTGTGAGACAAAAAAGTGCATTCTTGACACGGCCCCTGTACAGCTTTTCGTTAAACATTGTCATCTAAGACATAACTGATGGTCATTTGTCATTCTAGGATATATTGTGACCCTTTTTTGGCTTCGTTTAAACTACCTGTCTTCCGCGATCACGTGACATTCTCGTGGATCTGTCGCTGATGTTTAATATATTTGCTGTCGACTGCTTTGTTTGGTGGCCCGAGCATGAATGTTCTCCCCCTGCAGCTCTCGGCGGCGGAGGACCGCCTGTTGGCACTGTACCGAGACGGCTCGGTGCTGCTCTTCAGCAAGAGCTGGCGCCGCCTGTGTCTGCAGTCCTCCGACCAGGAGAAGTCTGGCCGCGCCTCTCACGTGAGCGTCGGCCGACAGACGCTGGCAGCGTGCGACTCCGGTGAGGCATGCGCCAGTCATGAGGCGACACATCAGAACGAGGTGATGCACGCCAATGTTCGGTCCATTTTATATTGAACTGCTCGTAATGTATTTCATGTGATATCCAAAAGAGTAATGCCAATAAAGGAAGTATTTAGTTGATGTTAGATGTACTAGTATATCAAAGTCTGACGTGATTGATACGTTATTTCAACATAAGAACGTTAGCCCAAGTCTTACGCAGCCGAGGCCGACTCAGCAGGGCTGTCCCGTCTTCACCTCCTACACGTCCGAGTCGGGCAGTGGCTTGTACGGCTGCCGCAGATGGCCACCTGTTGAGTCTGGACGCCGTGCCCACGCCCGCCGGCGAGCACGTGGTGCTGGTCTCGTGCGGCCGCGAGCACGTGGTGCTGCTGACCCGCTCTGGGCGCGTGTACACGTACGGCTGCGGCAGGTGCGTCGGAGGACCGCGGTGGGCTCTAGGCGTGGGTACGGCCGCCAGGCCTGCTAGTGCCAAGTAAGGTATTAGTGAGCAAGATTTGCGGACGCGGCTAACACTTATGAAGCGTTGTGCCACATGGCACGCGACAATGGTCGTTTTGAGGTTGCGTTCCTGCGCCAGGTCACGGTTTGCTGTTCGCAGTTCTTTGTTGCTTGTGAGCATCCGCGTATCTCAGCGGCCACGTGTGACGTTTTTGTGTCCCGTCATGAAGTCAGAGCATGTGACGTCTTAAGCAGTGAACAGTCAAAAGCTTGCTGAACAAAATGACTGCCCCGACACGGCCAGAGTGCCGTCTCCTCCTCACCGACAGCCTGACGCGTCTCCTCAGCCGGGGACAGCTGGGCTCGGGCGGCCTGGACGCGGCCGAGACGCCGCAGCTGGTCCAAGCTCTTGACGGGCTGCCCATCCAACAGGTGGCCGCTGGCGGCTGGCACACCGCAGGTGGGTCCACGAGGCTCGCCCGGCAGCTCCGGGCGGCTTGTGGGGTCCTGGTCGGAGGTCTCCAGCCCATCGACGAACGATGGGGATTTGGCCGACGTGGTTCCGTTTTTTTGTGAGAGGGCGATTGTCATTCGCGACGTCCTTGAGGGTCTCTGTCCGTTGAGCGGCAATCGCTTTATGATAGTGCTCGGACTAGCATCTGCACACTCACCTATGCTTAGCAAGGACTCTGGTCCTGGGCCCGTCCCTGCGAAGTGCTCAGTCAGGCTGGTTTAGGAGGCAGTTTCAATGACAGCGCGCGTAAACCGCTTGGGTCCGGATATCAGCCGCAGCTGGGCTGCGGTGGTGCTGCCCTAAACACCAGGCGATAACGCACGGCTGCTGTGTTGTGACACCGCCGTGGCTCGCGCCTCAGCCGTCTCCACCTCTGGGGACGTCTACACCTGGGGCTGGAACGAGTCCAACCAGCTGGGCCTGGGCGACGACGTCAATGTGGCGCCCGAGCCGACGCTGGTAGAGGCGCTGCCTGTTGACAAAAACGTGCGCCAGGTGGCGTGCGGCACACGCCACACCCTGGCCCTACTCGGTAGGTCATGCGCACGCGCAGAACTCTCCCAGAGATGGCCTGTTGGGCACGGTATGCCCTAAGTCTGCTCGGTTGCATGTGAAATGTGTACGATGTTTTTTAGTGGAGATTAACCGCGTGATGATAGGGAATGCTTCAGTTGTTATCAGCTAGCTATTTAGTTGTCGAAACATTTTTACAATATTTTCTTTCAGCTGTGGATGGATTGTATGTGCGGCCGAGATTAACTTTCGTTTTTGTTGTTGTTGTTTTACCTGTGTCTAACCATCTGGCGTTACGTCAGCACCGAAACGCACCGAAACCATACTCAACCTGCATAGTTCCACAAGTCCACCAATTTTAATTGTAGACTGACGTTATGAGGTCTCAGCCGGCCTAAAGCCCGCGCGCAATCCGATTTCCCAGCAGTGACTCCTGCATTCCCTCGCGTGAGCCTTGACAACGGCGGCACCATCCCCGCCGGAACCGCTGCCCCAGAAGCCGCGCCCAGGCCTAATCCGTCGCACGGGTCCCGGCGGATTGGCGCGTCCGGTGGCGGCAGAGCCGGCGCGGGAGACGCCTACTCCCTGTCGCGTGTGCGGCCGACCTCCGGCCGAGCTGATGCGGCGCGCGTGCTGACAGACGACGGCGCCGTACTCGGCTGGGGCTGGAACGCCTACGGCCAGCTGGCGGGGCCGCGGCGGGCGCGGGCGGCGCCGCACCGGCTGTCGGTGCCGTCCGGCCGGGTGGTACGGCTGGCCGCCGGCGGCTGGAGCTCCGCCTTGCTGGTGGAGCCGGCGCCGCCGCCGTGAGGACGGCAGGCGCGGCGCCCGAGGTGTGCTGGAGGTCAGCCACGGTGTCGTCACCAGAGACCGTGAAGTTGGAGCGGTTTTGAGCGATTCGGCGTCGGTCTGTACTCGGCGCTGAGTTTCACATGCGGACAACGCGATGCGCCCTCTCGTGATACCGCTGTTACGCGTGAACTGTTGATGTTGCATACGGTTGTGAATATCGAAGCATTTTGTCCACACGGTGTGCTGCTACGCGGTTGTTCGCCTTATTCCGGGCAGGATACACTGACAAATGCTCGTGTTCTTTGTCTACGGCATTTGCAGGCGTATTGTCTCGAACCTTTGTCGCACAGTCGTAGGAGACTGCGCCTACATGCTCCCGGCAAAGCCGCTCGCTTCAGCTTGGAAGATACGGATGGCTTTTGTGCGACATTTATGTATTGTCATCGAATACCATGCCTCTCAGATGCACCGATCTCGCTCACACGTCAATGATCATGTCAAAATGGCACTGAATTACACAAGATGTCGCTGCCACGCTCACTTCAGTACTGCTTGGAACTATGTTGCACGCCTGACAGCCGGCGCTGGAAGCGCGGGTCATCGGACAGTCTCACTCTGCAGCTCGAGCTCACGCCGAACGTACAGTTACAGCCACGCGCCTCTAGCGCTAGGGGACGACGCTCAACACACGCACCCACGCACGTAAACATACACGGATGATGTTTCGGGGATGAACACGATGGCGCCCCGACGCCGTGCCGGGGCCGCCGTGGGCGGCGGCCATCTTTGATTTGTCACCCGACCACTCGCCGCTCGCCTCGACTCTCCTCCATCCTGTCCTCGGACCGGGCTGACACTCCAGCGGGCGTGCGGTCGATACCGCTGTGCCTGACGTCTCGCGGCCGCCGCGAGCAGCCCCCCTCCCCTCCCACCCCCGGGGCGCCGTCAGCGGCTCCGGTGGGGTCGCTCTGCCGCGACCTCGTCTGGGGTCACGCGCTTACGGCCGGGCGGGCCGGCCCTGCAGCTTCTCGAAGAGCGACGGCCGGCCGATGCGACCGGCCCGGCTGGGGCGGAAGGCCCTCGACCGCGGTCGCGGCGCGGGCTCCTCCGCCGCCGGCTCCTCCGCCGCCGGCTCCTCCGCCGCCGGCGCCGCCTCCACCACCACCGGAGACTCTCCCTGCTGCTCGTCTGAAACACGGGCGGTCGGTCACGGTCTGCAGAGGGGCGCGTGTGCTGCTGCCGCCGGCCGTACGTCCTGTGGGGTCGGGTCAAGCCCAGCACGGTCGCGCCTCGCTCGGTCAGCTGCCACCTCCGGGGGTGGAGTGAGACGCGTTCCGTGCGGCCTGTACGGGCACCCATCACCCAGTTCCATTCACCAGCCGTGACCGGCGAGCACAAGCCTCCAATAATGCCACCAACAATGCCACCTGCGGCAGTCAAACCAGAAGCAAATGTGTTCACAGTGTAGTATTCGGCCTTTTACTGTCATTACTGTAATTCGGACAGTCTGAGACTGACGGGGGGGATGCGATGGCCCAGTGTTCGAAACTCTGAGAGCTTTCACCATCGAAAGCGTCTTGTCTCAGCACGCTTCCGGTATTGCTTAGGGTTCCCGCTATAGCAAGCCATCAGAGGTGGTGAAGTCATCAAAACTGTGTGTTTTAGCCCAAGGACTGAATGGCGGTGCGTATTGCATTGGTGGACACTGTACACTTCGCCTCTGGTTTGTCTGCTGTCTAGCCCACAGCATCCACATACAAGTCGCTATTCTATGCGGATGTGAAACCAAAGCAGGCAAAGCTTATCTTATTTCACGGAGATCGAAGCCATATAACGAGTAATTAAAGCTTTGCCACCAGGCTAACAAGCCACCGAAACCAGTAATCCGGCTTCAACCAGACACTATTCACTAAACTTTATATAAGCATATTAATGTAAAAGCAGGGGTAAGTAAACCAATTACCTTCCATCGCCGCTCCAGACCCCTCCACCGCGTCCTCCAGCTGCTCTACTCTCTCACCCTCGACTACCAACAGCAGCTCCTGCTCCTCTTCGGTGACAGCGCTCTCTTCGGCGGCGCCTCCTTCGACAGCGGCCGCATCTTCAAAAGCCACGGTCTCCTCCACAGGAACCTCCTCCGCGGGGACCTCCTCGGTCGGGACTGGTTCGGTGGAGGCCGGCGGCGGCACCGTAGGCAGCAGGATGGCCTGCACTGGCGAGTCGGAGCGCGCGAGCAGTGAGGTGATGCGCCGCTCGCCGCCCGGCCGGCTGCCGCGGCGCCGCGTGCCCGGCACGAAGCCGCGCCGCCCAGTGCCCCGCTGCCGACCACCGCTGAACGGGCGCCGGAACAAGGGCGGCAGGGTAGTGGCCTCGTCGGCCGGCGCCGGGCTCTCCTCCGCGCCCGGCTCCTCGAGGGCGGGCTCGTTCTCCACCGGTGCCTCGGGGCGTTCCTGTTCGGCGGGCAGCTCCGGCGTCGGCTCGCTCTCCGCGGTCAGCTGCCGGATCTCCGTCTGCGGGGTCAGCTCGAGCTCCTCTTCGACGGGCACCTCCGCGGCCGGCGGGCGGGCGAAGAGCGGGCGCCGGCGGCGCCCGCCGCCGGGCCGACTCAGGACGCTGCGGCCGCCGATCACTGGCGGCAAACTCCTGTTGGGCAGCGATGCCTCGCCTCGCGTGCGGAACCGCAGCTGGCGGGAGCCTGGCCCCGTCAGTGACGGCCGGGCCTCATCGGCACTCTTGGTATCCTCCACGGGCTGCTCCTCGGCCGCTGCTCCTCCACGGGCTGCTCCTCCACGGGCTGCTCCTCCACGGGCTGCTCCTCCACGGGCTGCTCCTCCTCCGGCTCGTCCGCCGGTTCCTCTACTGCGGGTGGCTGCGTCCGCCCCGGTGAGGCGAGGCCGAGAAATCCACGCCTCCTGGCCCCAGGTCGCAGGCCCAGGAATGGCCGTCGTTCTCTGCCGCGCGGCCGACCCACTGGGGCCTCCTGTTGCTCCTGTTGTTCAGTGGCGCTCTCGGGCTCTGGAGATGCCCGGCGCGAGGGCAGCAAAGGTCGGCTTCTGACCCTCGGCGTCTCCTCGGGGGCCTCGTCTTCAGTGGTGACCTCGGGTTCGTCGGCAACCTCGGGCTCGCTGATGACCTCGGGGGTTTCGATCGCAGCTGGTCGCAGCGGACGACGGCCCCGGCCGCGGGGCCGGCTCACCCTGCTGGTCTCTTCCCCAGCGACTGCTGGCCTACGGACATTTATCCGGCGGCGAATGGTGGAGGCGCCCCTGGACCTCGGACGCTCAACTGGTGATTCCTCCTCGGCTATTTCCTCGGCCTCGGTAGCAACAATGCGGGCTGGCAGAAGGGGACGCCCTCTGCCCCTAGGTCTTCCGACAGGAGCTTCGTCGACGGCGACTTCTTCAGCCTCTTGGGGCTCAGGCCGAGTGGGTCGACCACGCAGAGAGGGACGACCTCTCGTCCTGATTGGCCGAACCGGTGAACTTTCCGTTTCATCAGCCACCTCAGCCACGGGTGCTTGGACGGCATTGGGGGAAATGCGCCTGCGACCGGGTCGTCCCAGTCTGCGACCGCGCCTCCCTCCCCTCAGTCTCCCACGAATGGAAGGCTCAGGAGTCGTCGGCTCTTCAGGAATGAACTCTGTGGTAATCCTCTCGTCTGCGATCGCCTCGATGGTGGTTGGTTCTTCGGCCGGCGTCTCGGCGCTCACGGTCGCGTCAGTCTCGGTGACCTCAGCGTCCTGCTCGAGTCCAGCAGCTGTCGTTGCGTCACCCTCGAAAATCCCCTCCGTGAATGAAGCGAAGTCTGCGCTGCCCTCTGTACCGCTCTCCTCGGGGATTGCGTTCTCGAGCGAGCCAATGTCCTCAATCGCCGCGTCCGTGATGACCTGCTCTTCCGCAACTTCGATGTCTGCCTCAGTGCTGACCTCGGGGATTGGAGTGGTGGTGGTGGTTGTGGTGACCTCGACAACCTCCGGTGCAGCGGCCTGTCCCCTGCGCGAGCCACCGCGACGTCGGGACGGCCGACGCCCGCGGCCGGTGATAGCGTTGCTGCCTACGACGGGGTCAGCCTGACCGCGCGAGAAGCGGGGCCGGAAGCCGCCGCGACCGCGTCTCCTCGACGGCGCCGGCTCATCCTCCACGGCGTTGGACTCCTCGGTTTCTTCCTCGCGCACCTCGGGCGCCGCTGTCGTTGCCTGGGTCCTCTTTCGAGACCTCCGCCCTGCTGAGGACGCGCGGGGTGGGGCTCTGTTCCCACGGCGGCCCAGCGCGCCTCGGCCTCGGAAACGGCGACCCCGTCCCCTCACGGGCTCTTCCACTTCGTTTTGCTCTTCCTCTTCCACCACAGACGAGGGCTCCTCAGGGACGGCCTCCTCGAGAGCCTGCTGCACCTCCTCAGCGGCCTCCTCGGCGACCTCCTCGGCGGGCGTCTCGGCCTCGGGCTCCTCCGCGGCCGGCTGCCTGGCCAAGGGCAGCGGCAGACGGCCAGGTCTCCTCAGCCCGGGTCGACCTCGCGGCCGCAGCCCCGGGCGCGCAGGACGCCCGAGGCGCCCGGGACGGCCGCGCCTGGTCGGCACCACCGTCGCTTCGGTGACGATCTCCTCCTGGGGAACCTCCTGCGGGACGTCCAGGACGGTGGCCTCGGCCGCAGGCTCGATCTCGGTTTCCGCCTTGACCTCTTCCTCGACCGGTTCTTCAGCAGCGGCTCCCGGCCGGCGCCTACGGCCGCCTCGACCGCGGAGGCCGCCCGGACGACGTCCCCTGCGCCCAGGCCCCAGGCGACCAGGCCGTCCGCGCTTCGGTGCAGGGGCGGGAGCCTCCTCGACCTCGACCTCGACCGGCGCTGCCTCCTCAGGCGCGCGCTCCGGCTGCGCCTGCGGCACCTCGTCCTCGATCTCGTTCTGCGCCTCAGCCGCGGGCTCCGGCTCGGCCGTGGGTCGCCCGCGTCGCCCGAGAGGGCCGTCCGCCGGGCCGTGGACGGCGCGGACGCGATCTCCCCGAGGGGCCACGCCTGCGTGATGGTGCCTCCGTCTCGGGCGTCTCGGCGACGGGCGCGGCCGTGGGCTCGGGCGCTTGCTCGGGCGCCTGCTCGGGCTCGGTGACCTCCTCCGGCTCCTCGACTGCGGGCCTCCTGCCGCGGCCGCGGCGACCCGCGCAGGCCGCCCAGGCGAGAGATGCTGGGGCGCGGGCGTCGGGACAGGCCTCCGGGCCTGATGCGCGGCCGACGCGCGGGAGCCGCGACCTCCTCCTCCTCCGCCGGTTCCGGCGCGGCAGCGTCCTCCGAGACCTGCTCCTCGGCGACTTCCTCCTCCACAACCTCCGGCTCCGGGGCCGGCCGGCGTCCTGGGCGCGGCGGCCGGCGAGTGCGGATCGACGGCGGCCTAGAGACGACGGGCTTGGACTCGACGTCCTGCTGGCCGCCGCGCCGGAGGCTGGCCGGCAGGCGGCGGCCCGCTCTCAGACCGCCGCGGCCGCGCGGCCGGCCCGGGCGTCGCGTCTCCTCCTCCGGCGCCTCCGTGGTGGTGGTGGTGGTCGTCGTGGTCGTCTCGGCCTCGGTGGGGAGGGGCGGCTCAGGCGTCAGCTCGATGATCTGGTCAGGAGGTCGCGGCCCGCAGCCCGGAGAAGTCGACCTTCTGGGCCTGTTCGGCCCGCGTGAACGCCTCGAAGAAGCCGGCCTCTGTTGTGGGCTCCGGCGTTAACGTCGTGGCGTCAAACAAGTCTGTCTCCAACCCGGACGCAGACCCGGTCCGTTGTTCCTCTCCGAGGAAGAGGAACTGGTCCCGCTCCGTCTGAGCCGTAGCCTCCGTCGTGGTGGTCGCCTCGTCCTCAAACGGCGCATCTTGGCCCAGTTCTCCCAAGGCGATGTCCGTAGCGAACTCGTCGGCGAACTCGGTCGTCACCGGCGTGTTGAACTCGGTCGTCACCGGCGTGTTGAACTCCGTAGTGGTCTCGTCGAACTGCGGCTCCGCCTGCGCGACCGCGGGTCCGCGCGGCGGGAAGCGCGTGCGCGGCGGCAGACGCTCTTCCGCGACGGCGATCACCTCAGCCGGCTCGGCGACCGACTGGCGTCTCGGGCCACCACGCCTACGGCCCAGCACGCGACCCTGGCGCGCGTTGCTCAGTATGACCGGATCCCTCCAGCTCCGGCAGCGTCTCGGGAGCAGGCGTGCGGAATGCGGTTACCGCGCGAGCGAACTGCGGCGTCGGCGCCGACGTCGGCGCCGGCGCGGGACGGGACCTGCCACGGGACCGTGTGGGTGTGCGTGCCGGAGCGGGCTGCTCGGCAGCGGCGACGGGGACGTGCGACCACGACCACGCCCACGGCCCACGGACCCGACCGCGTCCCCGACCCGACGGGGCCGGCGTGGTGGTGGGTGGTTGTCGTTGTCGTCGTCTCTTCCAGCTGGGCCTTCTCCTCTTCCAGCTCGAACCCAAGCTCGGGCTGGAGCTCGAGCTCGGACTCGTCGACAGGCCGACCGAGAATGTTCCCAGGACGCTCGCCTCGATGTTGTTGCGAGGCGGCGCGCGGCCGGACGGACAGAGACGGCCGGGATAGACGGGGGTCGGCTCGGGCGCGACAGGCGACCGCGAGACGCCGGGCGTATGGGGAGAGCGGGGGCCACCTCCTCTCCGCGAATGCTCACCGCCGGAATCGACTCCTCCTCTGTACTGGAAACCGTCGTGACCGGCAAGTCGTTGGAAGAGATGGAGAAGAGAGCGTCTTCCGTGCTGCTGCGAGCGGTGGATGTGACCTCGTTGTCGAAGATAGGCACAGTTGAAGCCGGCTCCTCGTCCCGACTCGAGGCAGTTGACGTGGCCTCGCGATCACGGCCTCGGACAGAGGGGAACAGGTCAGCGGGGCGGGCTGGGAACAAGTCATTGGAGCTAGCGGTGGTGGCGTCGGAACCACCAGGGAACAGACCAGTGGGATTGGTCGTGACATCTGGCTCGGCGGCCGGCAGGCCGACCGGGAACAGACTAGCCTCGCCGCTCCTGTCGACCGCTCCCCCAGGGAACAGCCTGGAGGTGTCGGAGGTCTCGGTGGCGCCGCTGTCCGCAGGAGTGGTGGACTCGGTGACGGCTCCGACCGTGGTCGTCTCAGCGGCATCCGACTCGGCCGGCAGGACAGACTGGTCGTGGGACACCTAGACGGTTTTTCACCCGCCACGGCGCTGGCCTCAACTTCCTCCTCATCAAAGTAGGGGTAGTCGTAATATTCTGAGTAGGGATAATCGTAATAGTCATCTAAAATTCCGCTGCTCGTCCCGGAGGCAGTGGTGGGCGCAGCGGTCGTGGTCGTGGTGGTGGTGGTTGTCGTGGTGGGCGCCTCGGTGGTGGTGGGCTCCTCAGTGGGGGGCGGCGGTGAAGGATAAACTGGGCCGTCCCCGCCGGCGGTTCGTGCCGCGCCCACCCGTCAGCCGACGGCCGACGCGACCCACGCTGATCCCCCCCGGCGTGCGCTCTGTCACCTCGTTGTCAATGACCTCACGCAGCGGCGGGCGCCGCGAGCGCCGCGTGGTCGGCTCCTCAGTTGTCGTGGTCGGCGCCTCCGTCGTGGTGGTGGTGGTGGTCGTCGTGGTCGTGGTCGTCGTGGGAGGCTCCGTCGCTGCCTCCGTGACCACCTCCTCGGCGAAGTTGTCTTCGAAGTCGAGCGTGTTGGCGGTGGGCTCGTCCTCGTAGTCAGTAGTAGAGGTACTCGTACTCGACGATCGTGCCGTTATCGAGCACCTTGCGCACGATGCGCGACTCGATGGGCTCCGATGAGTACGGCTCCGTTGTCTGCGCGGCGACCGCCGCCAGCAGCAGCAGCGCCACCACGCCGCCGGCCTGAAACGCACAGCCGAACGCGGGTCAGACTGGAGTCGCCGCGCCATTGCAAGATATGCTGGAT